GGGTATATATTCCATACAGTTTTCCATACATAGAATGGTTCCTTTGTGCATACAATTCTCCCTAGAGAGAAAGCCCCCCCTCTCTAGTCTTGTTATGGTAAAGAAAGAAAGCCCCCACTTATGTTTTCCAGATGTTTCTCATCTGAGGTCTGTACTTTCTGCCATGTAGGCTTGTTTTTACACACAGTCATATGGGATTATAATGGAAGTATAACTGGATATATTAATGGCTAGATTCGTCTTGATTATGCTTGATTAATTCATATTTGGATTAATAAAAATCTTCTACATTACAGATACAAATACAGATACAAATACTGCCTGTTACAAGAAAATTAAAATATGTAATGTCATTATTAAAAAGTTTTGACAATTTACATATGTAATTGTTGCATTAGGCTATGAATTAATAAGCGTTTATTGATAAGAACTATTTCATGTCTTTTCATTTACAGTAGCATGAACCACGAATAGTCGAGTAACTCGAGTATTTTTTAAATAAGAAATCAACTAGCAGAAATCAGTAGTCGTGCAACCCCTAGTATACGGTTACGTTACATATGTAACCCTAGTTCCCAGAGGGAACGAGACACTGCGTCTCCTGCCATACTTCCGGCATCCCTGCAAGCGCTTCCTTCATTCTACCAGAAGCTGCCGCTGTATCCACTGCACGTGCTTTTATACTTCCTGGTCTCTACGTCACCCCGTCGGTGACGTCTCTCCCATCCATTGGACTGATTGCACACGTAAAATGCATTCCCAAAGCGTCTCGACGCAGCGTCTTGTTCCCTCAGGGAACTAGGGTTTAATATGTAACCTAGAGGTGTTTCTTCAGTTCCTTGTCCAGTAGAGGGTATACATTGACGTCACTTTCCCGCCGGAACATGCCCCCTCAGCCGGACTGAGCGGCAAAAGAGCCTGCCGCATGAATGGATTTAATAGGGAAATTGTAAAAATGTGAGTAAAACAAACGATAATCGGTTGCTGGACTCGATATAGTGTTCATTACAACTTACTAAATATCCAGTGTCCATAGAATTGTAAAAATGTGAGTAAAACAAACGATAATCAGTTTAAACTAAAGTTTGCTGGACTCGATATAGTGTTCATTACAACTTACTAAATATCCAGTGTCCATAGATATTGATATGCAGCCAGGAATCGTGTGTCCTGACATTTATATTTGATGCCGGGGGGGAAAATAAAGCAAATTTGCCCGTGAACTCATTTTGTAAATACAAAATAGGTTGGTCTAAATCCGGGTGATCAATTATATCAATGTTATACGTATATATCATCCAGCCCAAAAACTTGTAGTTTTTGTCCGTGTTTATTTAAAAACATCCAGTTATGAATTTAAGATGGTAAATATTTAATTGATGATTGTCAATACGATATATTATAATACAATATATAGGGTATGATTATACCGCAAAATTCAACATATTAACATGAAATGATAACTGCAAATCCGTGTTTCGCTGCCTGGAGTCCATTTGTTTCTGTGAATTGCAGCGATTCATTTGTCTCGCTCTTCTGTAGCTTTCGGCAGTCTGTAAAAATATAGCTCAGATTTCTTGTCAAATCTATTTGTACAGTAAATCGCAAAGATCTTTCTCGTTTTAGATGTGTTTTGTGTCTTCTGTCGCAGCATTCATGCTGAAAACCAATGCTGCCATTCAGTCTTTTTGCCATTTTGAGGGCGGATCTGCAGTCCCTCCAGCTGACAGTGACGTCACGTGCATACCCTCTATTGTTGTGAGTTGTGTTGTTACAAGCTGTTTTGCCTGACTTTTCATCAGTGGATTACTTGGTTTAGTTTTAATAAATACATTTTTGTTATTCGAACCCTCATTTGGAACCTTTTTCATCATCATTGCATGTATGCATGTATGTATCAAAAGGTCACAATGAAATTTTGATTCAAGGCAAGTTAAGACATCGATTACATTGCACTGCTATTATTTATTTATTGAAAACAAGACTCGATTACCAATATTCATGATTTTTATGGGGGTAAAACCAACCTCCTGCATGCACTTTTGCAATTCAGTTATTATTACTATTATAATAATGCAATTGTCCTAGTCCTAGTCACGGTGAAACACATGACGTTAGTCCAAATGGAAATGTAATGCAAATATGAATGCTATTTTATTTCAGCTTTTGCCTATAACATTTGCATCATTTCAGGCTCAAGTCTACAAGCTAATAATCCTCAATAAGTCACTATTTCACATATTCAATCCTTTTGTATATATACTTTATATATTACATTTGGCTAAAACTGCTGTTAATGTGACACCAGTATTATAAAACTACACGCAGAAAGCATTTTGTGCCTGGGGAAAAATAGGAAAAAACCTGCTTTAGTAAATAATTCATCAACATATTAAATTGGTACTGCTATTTTTTCATTATCAATTTTTTATTGTCTAAACAAGATATTTGAATATACAAATAATTTCCTGTGTATGTGTAATGTGTTGTAGTTTTTGCACTTCTGCTCTATTGTACCGCTATTGTACACTTGGCAGCACTATTTGTCTCCCTTAGATTAATTCCTTCTTTTATTATTCTCGTTTGTAAGTTGCTTTGGCTAAAGGAAGAAATAAAGGTAAATGTAAATGTAGTTATTTTCAAATATTTAGGCAGCTGATTGAACCCTTGGCTGAGAGTTTAGCATCTGTGCATTTACTTAGCAGTGAATGTTTGCATTAAATGTTTGCATTCTGCTCCATTATTCTCAAAGGCAATGCTTTTAGCCTTTTAGCCTTTAAATGCTATTAAAGATTTGTTTTACTAATTCTGATTTCCATTTCTAAACAACAATCCATTTGGTCTGATGACATAAGTGAAAGTAACTTTATGACTATGACAGATTTTAGACTTTAGACAGATTTTTCTTTCTTTCTTTCTTTCTTTCTTTCTTTCCTTACAACTGGGCTGTTAGTTGGTGGAGTTTGCATTTACTTGGTCAAAGATAGTAATAAATAAATATTTCTTTATTATTCTGTGTAGCTGTGTGTGTAAAATTTACTTTAAAACTATATACACCTAACATTTCACCTTTTGAACTGAATCCAGTCAATGGATGTTTTCATCCATGCTTGGTTAATTGGTAGCCATTTTTAAGGGGTATAGCAGAGCAAATAAAAAGCAAACTGTGTTTGTATATTGTTTAGATGAGAACCAAATCTGGGAAGCACACACTCAAACTTAAGTTAACTTGAAAATAATTTTAACTTAACTTAAATAACGTTATTTTGATGTAAAGATTTAACACATTAGCAAGCCAAATAAAACATTTTACACATACTGTATGTTTGATGATGGCAGAAAATTATACTTGTTACAGCCAAGGCATTTCCACAGTGGTTGTTTTCATTATGGCAAACTGTGTTCTTGTTAGCATGTGGGTTCATAAAAGAAACTCATTTAAGTACTAACTTAGAACATTAAACATGAACAGGTCTGCCCATTTTTTCCATCTTGCTAAAATTATGCTTAAAATAACACTTTATTTTAGCATTTACTCTCCCTATCCAGTTTCATGCAAAGCATGATGGAAAGTTGTCATCTTTTTCCATGTTTGCTACTTTTAACCAGCAACAACAATCACTTATGTAATCACAGCTCAAATGGATTAAGTAAATTGACTGAGCACAATGAAATTGTGAAAAATCTTGAAAGAATTGTTTAACTTGTTTTAAGTACATTGAGGTAAAATCCATGTTTCATGCCATATTTGCCTGTCCCCAGTTTCTTTCTTAGAAATATTATGACTGGTTAAATGCACCTGTTTTGTTTGCTCTGTCTGTAAAGGCGTGCTGTGATTGGTCACACCATCACACTCATTTGTCATTGTCTGTATATCAGTTTAAGTAAGAGAGAGTCAGTGTCATCATGTACAATTCTGTCATCAACTGAGAGAACCTCTTCACTCAATGAAGATGAAGACAACACTTGCTGTGCTGCTAATCATGGAGCTCTGCCGACTCTCCTCCGGTCTCATTAAACAACATTTCTTTGTGAAAGATGAGAAGACATGGGATTCTGCAAATAACTACTGCAAAACTTATTTTCATGTCCTCTCCACCTTTACCAATGACAACGAGCAACAGAAATTTTTGGAAAATGCAGTTAATGCACCTTCTGATGCCTGGGTTGGACTCTACACAGAATCAGGAGTCTGGAAGTGGTCTGGAGGTGAAAATGCAACACAAATTAGCTGGGATACTGATCAACCAGATAAAATTGATGACTGTGCTTTTATACACAAAGGCCTTAAGAAACTACATGATGCAGAATGCACTGCTAAATATGCCTTCTTCTGTATGAACGTATCAGAGTTTCTCCTGGTGCGTCAGAAAGAGACCTGGGAAGGAGCTCTGGAATACTGCAGGACTCATTATAATGATCTGGCAAGTCTGAGCACAATGAACATGATGTATTCTGCTTTACCGGAAATCACAAGGACTGAAACAGAATATGTGTGGACTGGTCTGCGCTTTCTAGCAGGGGACTGGTTCTGGGTCAATGGTGATGATCTTGACAACACAGCCTGGTATAAGAGGAGACTGCCCCAGTGTCCTGCCAGAGACCTTCGTTGTGGAGCCCTGGAAAAGCAAACAAAGCTTTGGACACACAGAAACTGTGAGGAGAAGCTCAGCTTTATTTGTCAGTAGAAAGTACAATGAAACAAATCAATTCATGAAAAAGCAAAAAAGGTAATGTTTTCTTAAATTAAGATGCCCTTGTCTTAAGAACAGTTCAGACTTTGTGTTAACTGTGAATTTGGTGTTTAAAACAAACATACAAAACTGTTTATGTGCAAATTGGCGTTTGATGCTAAACTTACCCTCTCATCTTCTCCTGATTATAGAGTCCATCAGAAACAAGACAGTAATTCATCTCCACTCGACAGAAACTTCACTCATAAGCAGTCTGCACACATCTGGATCATGACTAATAGAAGGAATGAATATAATATAGACCAGAACATAATCTACATGTACATTAGGTAGAATAGCTTAGTTGTATACATTATAAGAGTATCAACATATAATAATAATAATAATAATAATAATAATAATAATAAGAAGAAGAAGAATATTACTGTAATACATTTTCAACATTAAAAATGGTAAGAATTAAGGGTACAGTTTTTTATTCTTACTCTAATTAAAGAGTATGAACACTGATATCAGTATCAACTGGTCATCATTTAACAATTAAAATATGACACTGTATGTTATAATACTGAAATATTATTATATGCGAAACATAACACATATACACAATATTCCATTATTCAAAGCAGTTTTACATGGAATATTGTGATGTTTAGGTAGATGAGAAAGAAACTCAAAAATTGAAAAAGTTGGTCAAAACCCTACATTACATTTACACACACACAAACTGACCATCAGCTGCAACTTACAGAAGCCTTTTTTATTTATTTATTTACCTCAATTGTTTTAACTGAATGCAGAGGACTGTGTGATATCAAAGACAGCAAAGGATACATCTGTGCTGCCTTCAAAAATCGATCAGATAAAGATATCTCAGGAGACAGGAAGTGAAGCTAACATTAAATTCGGACATGCCTTGATGCTTTTCAAACTTGGAATGCATCGTCCAAAGGCATGTGTTTTTTTTTTTTTTTTAATCTTTTGGACACAGCTGAGGTCTGAAAAGTTGCTAAATCAAGCAACAATCAAGTTGCTAAGATGGCAGCAATTGTCAGTAAATCTGACCCAGCAGCTACACAAAAACTACCTAGCACCTGTGTAAAAATAATAATAAAAAAATAACCCATCATTTGAGTGTATTAATTTTAATTTCTTGTCAAATTATTATAATAGTTACAATTATTTCTAATAAATAGGAGGGATGCAAACAGTGTATGGCAGATACTCGCAGCTGTGGGTTCTCCCGGAAACATGGCTGGGAACTTCTTGTCTCGAGAACAACATAGGACATAAAACTGAGTCTTGTGGCACACCATACTTTATAATTATTTAGTCAAATAAATGTTCATTTACTCACATGAAGTGGTGAAAGGAGTGAAATTATTTCCTTATGAAATTAACTCTTTTGGACGCAGCTGAGGTCTGAAAAGTTGCTAAATCAAGCAACAATCAAGTTGCTAAGATGGCAGCAATTGTCAGTAAATCTGACCCAGCAGCTACACAAAAACTACCTAGCACCTGTGTAAAAATAATAATAAAAAAATAACCCATCATTTGAGTGTATTAATTATAATTTCTTGTCAAATTATTATAATAGTTACAATTATTTCTAATAAATAGGAGGGATGCAAACAGTGTATGGCAGATACTCGCAGCTGTGGGTTCTCCCGGAAACATGGCTGGGAACTTCTTGTCTCGAGAACAACATAGGACATAAAACTGAGTCTTGTGGCACACCATACTTTATAATTATTTAGTCAAATAAATGTTCATTTACTCACATGAAGTGGTGAAAGGAGTGAAATTATTTCCTTATGAAATTAACTCTTCATGAAGCCAATACTCAGGAACTCACACAAAACAGACGCCATGCAATAAAACAATAAAACTTATCTGGAGAAGAAATCTTCAAAGAGAGCAAACAACACCTCTCTCCTCGCCCATTTACGACAAGTAGTCAGATTATGAGAAAGATTTAAAACTTTTGTAGAATTGTGTTGTGTTGAGGAGGGTGTGTGTCTCCCTTTAGGGGTCTGTGAGAATGTTTATCAATCTCCAGCCAGGTGTGACCCTGGATCACAGAACCTAACAAACAAGGGCTGGCGGGTGGATTCTTACAGTGGTAGCTAACTCAGGCCAATCCGCAAATGTCAACACAATTTTCAAGGAATACAGAAGAAGGTTATGATTTATACCAGGGTTCCTCAAATCTTGCCCTGGAGGGCCAATGCGCTGCAGAGTTTAGCTCCAACCCTGATCAAACTCACCTACCTGTGATTTTCTAATGATCCTGAAGACACTGATTAGCTTGCTCAGGTGTGTTTGATTAGGGTTAGAGCTAAACTCTGCAGGAAAGTGGATCTCGTGGGCCAGATTTGAGGATCCCTGCTCTAGGGTGTCACTTTGGTTACATACATTTATAACATCTGAGAGAGCTAGCTGTTATTTGGTTAGGTTGATAATACCCGAAGAGAGCTAGCTATTAGCATTCATCTCAAAGGCAGTTAGCTTGGTTGTGGTGTTTAAGTCAAAGAAAATGAAGTTATTTAAAGGGATAGTTCAACCAAAAATAAAAATTTGGTCATTAATTATAACCTCATGTCGTTCCAATCCCGTAAAACCTTCGTTCATCTTCGGAACACAAATTAAGATATTTTTGATGAAATCTGACAGCTTTCTGACCCTGCATAGACCGCAACACAACATGACACATTCAAGGACCAGAAAGGTAGTAAGAACTTCATTAAAATAGTCCATATGACATCAGTTGTTCAACCATAACAACTCCATTTTATGAAGCTACGAGAATACTTTTTGTGTGCAAAGAAAACAAAAGTAACAACTTTATTCAACAATTTCTTCTCTTCCATGTCAGTCTTCGGATAAACTCTCACAGGTAAGAATGTGTTGGTTTGTGTTTTTAATATGTATTAACTCAATAATACAGGATTATAAAGTGGTAACTTTTTAATGTCGCATTAGCTAACGACTTTGTTTTGTTGTATTGTGTTAGTTTAGCAAAGTCTTTTGCAGATATATATATTTCACAGTCTTTGACCATTCCAGAATGATGGACAACGTACATATAGCCGCCCATAGAAACAGCTGCTAATGAGGCATCTATGTATGTATATCTATGTCTGCATATACCAACAGCTGCTAATGTGGTTATGCTAATCTCAACTCTCTGTTAGGAAATTGTGTTTTCCTGCATGGCTTCGACAACATACAGCAATAAATGTCCCATGGAGTTAAGAACGATATTATTCTTGTCTATAAAAAGACGTTTAACTGTAAATCACAGAACAATCGGTTTCTGAAGAGAATACAAGCAACAAATTGTCAGTGAGAACGTTTTAAAGGGTAAATGCTGCAACTCATCATAAACGGCTGCAGATGTCACAGCAAAAGAGCACCGCCGTATGTTTGTGAACAAGCTGAACCCCACATCTCTGACTAACTGATGAACGGCAGATTGTCTTTCACGGGAGCTACCCTCCCTGTGGTCGTCTGCGTTTACAGGCCACTGCCTCTCAGAGCAATCAGGCCCCAGCAGGCTTTACTGCGTAAAACCGAACAAGTCCGATAGTGTGCGTATAAAAGCACTGTCGATCAGCCATCGGTGTCACTCATCACAATGTCATATCCGAGCGGGGTGAGTCACGGTGAGCCACATTCACTGTCAGTACCACACCAAACCACTCACGGGAAACAGGACAGGAAATACACATTCCCAACATTGTATGTTATGCTTCATAACGAATTGAAAACAACGCTTTTTTTTCTGCTTGGGTGAATCATCAAATCACATTACCCACAATTCCAAAGAGTGACCTAGATGAAGATTAGCTAATGCTGCTGTCACGCATGTCACTTAACACGGCAAAAACCGCATTCAACACACTCTGTTTGGAGGTTGGAGTCATATATATATATATATATATATA